GGGGGGGGAAAGGTGTCCTCGCACCTCCTGGCAGGGAGCAGGGCGGGCTGCAGGCCTTGCCGGGTCGTGGGTGCCCATCCTGGGGGCCGTGGAGCACCTCTCCATGCTGCCGGGGCAAAGGGCGGATGTGCTGCTAGCAGCAGTGCACGCTGGTGCTCCAGGGGTGAAAAGTTTGGGAGATGTAAAGTTTGGGTCTAGTCGGAGGAATGGATGGGACCCTGAGCCCACTGTGGGGCACTGACGTTTTGTTGCGTCCGAGGATCCTCTGGCAGGTGCTGTGTGGGATCGGGTGTGACTGAGACCTTCAGAAGAGAAGCGTAGTGTTTACGGTGCAGGCGTATCAGGAGGTGCAATAAAGTAGGGAACACAGCGTCCACTGTCTTGCCTATGATAGTGTAAAAGCTGTGGGATGGAGTAGGAATGCAGAGTATCTGATTTGGTGAGAACATGAGATATTTTGTCCAGGACTGGGGGAGGGGGGTGTCACTCCCCCAGGTGAACTCTCTGATGGAGTTTGTGCTCGCAGTTTCAGCACATGGGTGCTCGGGTCCCAACATGTGCTCGTAAACTAGAACCAAGCTGAAATCCCGTCATCGGAAACAACCCAAACCTCGGGTTATGCCCACAGAAAACGCTGTTTTTGTAATAATGTTTGATCTGAAATAATGTTGTTTTAAAAACAGATCACCAGATTTATATTTAGGGACAGTGTTTTCTGCCAGGGGTCACTGGTCTTTTATACCAGCAGCCTATGCTATGGAGACTAAAATGCCACCTATTGTGAAATCTCAGTTTGGTTTGCATCCAGTAGCTAATCATGCCCAGCTGTTTCATGCCAGTTGAATCTTAGCAGAGTTAGGGGTAAATTGAAACACAGAAAGGCTGCAAAACAGGATGTTATTCTAGTGACATTTTAAATTTCCACAGTAAACTAGCTAGCATGGATGTGCTGAAAAATTATTTGCTGCCTAACTGTAATGCTATAATACTGCTGATGCAAAAATAGCGCTTTTGGAACCTCTTGTGTGCAGCCTCTTTAAGAGATTAACCGTTTATTTGGGCAAATTAATGTTTCTTTGGTAGGATTGGTGGAAGATGGGTTTTTTCAGTATTTTCCATTGGTTTTGTGAGACAAGCAACTTATAACCTCTTGAGCTTCTTTAAACTGCGCTTTATAACCTGCACATGGTTTAGTAGCTGTTCAGATTATACTTCTTGGTACTTTAAGTAACACAGATTATATACTAAGCAGTATAAAGTAGCAGGAGCTTGGCATACTTATGCACCCTTAAAGTAAAGCTCAGGCTGTTTCAAAACTTAAGATGCATCGCTTGTTCTTGTCTAGTGAGTTTCTCTAAAACTGCCAACATGTTGGATCAATTAATCGTTTGCCTGTTTTTAAAGTATGCACTAAGCTGGTTTCCCACACAAATGGTGTTTTATTAAGAAACAGTGGGAGTAAAAAATGTGTCTAACCTTTTAAGATGTTAGAGCTTTTGTTTGTTTTAAAGTCTAAAATGAAGTAAGCAGGGAATCTTTCTTACTGAAAGTAGCCTTGGCTTTCAAAACTACGAACACTGTATCACTTATCTTGGGGGCAGCTTCTTTTATGTCATATGACTCCTTACGGTTTATTCCGAGAATCCTTTTTGAGTGCTGAACTGATACCCAGCAGTGTGATTGTACAGTACCAGAGGCTGAAATGAAAGGAAACTTGCAGAAAATACTCTGGACTTGTTGAACACGTTCAGTGAGGCTGAAGGGCTTTGCTGATTGATTGTATGAGGTTGTCTTTGTTTTAAGGATTTTTGTTCTCTGAAGTTGGAAAATGGTTGTTGGTCTTACCGTAGGGGAAACCTGCCTTCTGCATACAGTCAAAACTCAGAGGAGTTTTAGAGCGTAAGTCTGCTGGAACAGGAGGAAAAATAATTATTCTTAAATATTTGACAAACTAGCAGGGATTCAGAACTGGATTTATCTTTACTCTTCCTCTTGTACCACCATTACGCTGGGACAAAATGAATGTACAAGCTGTGTAAAATTATCTTTCTGACTTGCAGCCTTTGACGTTTGCTCGGTCCCAGCCTAAATGATAGCACAAGATTCAAGGGAAGAATGAATCAAGTTCTTGCCTTCTGAGTTCAGCAGCATCTGCGATGCTCTACCCACGCCAAATCCTGGAGTGGGAAGAAGAAAATTCCATCCTGGAAAATACTTGGGGGGTGGGAGGGGAGGGTGAAATATGACCTAAAAAGCAATTTAAAAGTCGAAAGAAATATGATGTTACTCTCTTTTTTTTCCCTCTCTCTCTTTTCTCTTCTCCCACAGATTTTTTTTTTTTTGAGGTTTCATACAAGCTTGAATAAACTTTCTATACAGAAAACAGTATATCCTGTTGCGTAACAATGTGGCTCCTGCCCTTACTAAAGAACTATTACTCCTAAGAGAGATGTTTTTCCTTATGTACGGTCTTCTCTTCTGTATGCTTTGCCTTCTTTCTTTTACTGTCATTTTATCTCTTTGTGCTTCTTTTTCTGCTCCTCTCACCCCCACTCTCATTTCTTCATCTCTACCCCTGTGCTTCATGCCCCCCTCTTGACCACGTTACTGTATTACTTCATAGTGCTTTGCCCTTGCCACTTTCTTCCCAAAGCTCTCTTTCTCCTGCCAAAGATCTTAGCTCACAGCTGTATGTTTAATTATATTTACTGTTTTCTGCTAGATGCATGCCAGTGACCCTTTGCTAACACGGTGCCTCCTGATTTTAAAATCTATAGGCAACTGTAGCAAGATAACATTCTTGAATTTGAAGGAGGGTTGGTAGACCTCCCTCCCCTCTGATGCCCCCACCACGCACCCCCCAGTCAAAACCAGGGTGGTATTATATCGAAGCTTGTTGTGGAAATCTTCAAATACAACTTTCCAGGATTTATTTATAGTGCACCAGACAGAACAGACCAAGTGTTTGATTTGAACCAGTTCAGTCACGGTATTGAAAGTCTTTGCTTTCAGGGAGCTTGTACTTACGTCACTGCTTGCGCATCCAGAAGAGTGAGGTAGAGTTGCGACATCTGCGTTCACAGGGAGTGCAGAGCTCTGTGGTTCTCGCTCTAGGACACACTTAGCTTTTGCATCATTTGCTACAGCAAACCAGCATCTTTATTTTTATTGGCTTGAAGTATGGTATGGGAGCTATGAGTCCAACTTTGTTTGCTTTTTGACTAAGTACATTTTAACCAGAGAAGGAGCAAAAGCATCTAGAATTTCTGTTTCAGATGCTTTTTATTTCTCCTAAATCAACTTTTCTAGTAGAAAAGTACTCTAATAATATAGAGGATGTTCTTTTTCCTCCAGAAGAATAATCCGTGGTGTTGGCTAGGGCTTCTGATTGGCATTTTTTCTTATTCAGAACAAATTAGCTGTCATCTAGGTTTGAAAAGGCTCTAGCCACTGTGTCTACATTTAATAACTTAGTATTAATTGGAAGTATTCTTACTATGTGTTGTAGCACATGACCTAACACTTCCTCTGAGCTCTGAATAGATACAGTAAGGGAGCCTTCCAGAAGATGATTCAAGGTGAGAACTTCCCTCTCTCCAGCTCTTATTTGAGGGAACCTAGGCTGACCACTTTTAACTTGGGCACCTGTCAGGTGCTTGGGGCTAGGGAGGGATGTTAACTGCGACGGTACACGATTCATATGTGGGTAAAAATCAAATCTTTAGTATTCAATACAGTTTGTAACATTCAGTTTGAATTCTGGGGTGCGTCAGAATATCTCACAGAATGGATATGATTATTATGGGAAGTAAATTGCATCCTAAGTATTTTGCACCAGCAGCATATGTGAGTCAGGCAGTTTTGCATTCTCCGTCTTCTGCTCTTCCAGTTCATGCCATCACAAATTTTAAGTCACGTGCTGTGCGCATGACAGCCTGTTTTCAATGAGAGGCAGATGCCTCGTTTTTTGTAATGGCTCGTACACACTGGCAGCAACTGTATCTTTGAGACCTGAATCTCATATGTGATCTAAGATGACTCTGACTTCTTCCCTCCCTCTTTGGCCCTCAAGTGCAGCATGCGTGCACCAGATCGCATGAGGAGGGCATGGCCATCCCACTGCAAAACCAGTGTGTTCCTCCACACACACTGTGAATGTGGCCAGCCTTGATCTGTGCGCACTCAGTTCAATAAGTTTCTTCCCTTGTACTCAGATTTTTGTTCCACGATCAATGACTAGTCTTGACTTCAACATATTTCAAGATGTGTTGGTAGTAGTTTTGGCTTTGGGCTCCCCTGTAGATTTGTACTGATGTGCAAATTAAAGACTGAAGATGAAGATTTCTCTCTTTACAGACTTAATTCAGTACTGGAGCTACATTTGTTCCTTTACTAAAACAATTGTTTTCCTAAACCTTTGTTGAATTCTAATGAGGGAAACGTGCTCACAACATTCACACTGAATTTACATATGGATAAGTGTGAATTAATCAAGGGTTGGAGATTTCAGGCTTCCAGACCTGCCATAATTATTTTCTGTTTCAGGCACGCAGGATTTATTTCTAATAGAAACCAACTCAATGGGGGAGGGAGATGGAGATTAAGGCATCTCTGAGCCTTATCCATCATGAAATTGAGGCATGGCTGGGGCGTGCTGCCATCCTTAGGAACTCAGAGGAGCTCCTGGATGCATCGTGTAGGCCCGGCTTTCCATAGTTTTTGAAAATCTGGCTCTCGATATTTATCAAAATCAAGGATTTGTATCATTGACTAGAGCCAGCAGTAGTGCCGACAAGCTGTCCCACTGGATTTGCTAGTGAGCCACACTTCTGCCTACTAGTCCTGCTGTGGTTCAGTGCTAGACTTCTCTACTGCGGATGTGTTCGGTTATGCCAAGTGGTGGGGGGACTTTGTGACGTTAGGTACCTGGTTT